ATAGTGCCTAAGTCATTTGACTGCTAACCAGAAGGTTGGTGCTTCAAACCCACCAGCCACTCCTAAGAGGAAGATTGGGCAATCTATTTCCATAATGATACCACCTGGAAAAACCAAGGAGTGGTCTCTGTGAGTCAGATCTGATTCATTGACAGTGAGTTTGGTTTTTTTGGTTTTGCCACTTTACCAAGCATATTATCTTTCTCCAGAGAATGGTCCCTTAACAAGATCAAAGTAGTGGGATGAAGTCTGGCCATTCTCACTTCCAAGGAGCATTCCAGCTACACTTCTTCCAGGACAGATTTGTTAGTTCTTCTGGCAGTCCATGGTAATTTCAGTATTCTTCACCAATACCACAACTTAAAATCATCAACTCTTCTTCGGTCTTCCTTATTCATTGTCCACCTTTTACATGCATATGAGGTGACTGAAAATACCATGGCTTGGGTTAGGCACACCTTAGTCTTCAAAGAGACATCTTTGCTCTTCAGCATTTTAAACAGCTCTTTTGCAGCAGATTTCCCCAATGCAATACATCATCTGATATCTTGACTGCTGATTCCATTGGTGTTGATTATAGAACCAAGTTATATGAAATCTTTGACAGCTTCAATCTTTTCTCCATTTACTGTGATGGTGCTTATTGGTCCAGTTGTGAGGACTTTTGTTTTCTTTATTTTGAGATATAATCCATACTGCAGACTGTAGTCTTTAATCTTCACCAGTAAGTGCTTCAAGTCATCTTTGATTTTGTGTTGTCTGCATATTTCAGGTTGTTAATGAGTCTTCCTCCAATCCTGATGCCATATTCTTCTTCATATAGTCCCACTTCTCACATTATTTGCTCAGCATACAGATTGAGTAGGTATGGTGAAGGGATACAACTCTGATGCACTCCCTTCCTGATTTTAAACCATGCAGTATCCCCTTGTTTTGTTTGAAAGACAGCCTGCTGGTCTATGTGCAGGTTCCTCATGAGCACAATTAAGTGTTCTGGCAGTCCCATTCTTCTCAATGTTAATCCATAATTTGTTATGAGCTACACAATCGAATGCTTTTGCATTGTCAGTAAAACACAAAGAAACATCTTTCTGGTATTCTTTGCTTTGTGCTAAGATCCATCTGGCATCAACAATGATATCCCTCATTCCATGTCCTCTTCTGAATCTAGCTTGCATTGCTGGAAGTTCTCTGTCAATATTTTGCTGTAACCGTTTTTGAATTTTCTTCAGCCAAATTTTACTTGTGTGTGATATTAATGATATTGTTTGATTTTGTCCACATTCTGTGGGATCACCTTTCTTTGGAATGGGTACAAATATGGGTCTCTTCCAGTCAGTTGTCCAGGTAGCTGTCTTCCAAATTTCCTGGCGTAGAGGAGTGAGTGCCTCCAGTGCGGCATTCATTTGTTGAAATATCTCAGTGGGTATTCTGTCAATTCCCAAAGTCTTTTTCTTTTGACAATTCCTTCAGTGCAGCTTCAACTTCTTCCTTCGGTACGATTGGTTCTTGATCATATGCCACCTCCTGAAATGGATAAACATCAACCAATTAATTCTTTTTGGTACAGTGACTCTGTATTCCTTCCATCTTCTTTTGATGTTTCCTGTATCATTCAATATTTTGCCCATAGAATCTTTCAATATTGCAACATGAGGCTTGATTTTATTTTTTCCTCAGTTCTTTCAACTTTGGACATACTGAGCATGTTCTTCCATTTTGGTTTTCTAACTCCAGATCTTTACACATTTCATCATAATAATTTAGTTTGTCTTCTTGAGCTGCTCTTTGAAATCTTCTGTTCAGCTCTTTTACCTTGTCATTGCTTCCATTTGCTTTAGCTACTCTCTGTTTAAGGGAAAATCTCAGATTCTCTTCTGACATCCATTTTGGTCTTTTTTTCCTTTCCTGTCTTTTTAATTACCTTTTGCTTTCTTCATGGACATTCTTCATGTCATCCCACAATCCCTTTTGTTTGTGGTCATTGGTGTTCAATGCACCAAATCTGTTCTTCAGATGCTCTCTAAATTCAGGTAGGCTATAATCAAGGTCACATCTTGGCTAATGTGGACTTGTTTTAATTGTCTTCAGCTTCAGTTTGAACTTACATATGAGCAACTGATGGTCTGTTCCACAGTTAGATTCTGGCTTTGTTTTGGCTGAAGATATTGAGCTTCTCCATTGCCTTTTTCCATAGATGTAATTGATCTGATTCCTGGGTATTCCATCTGGTGAAGTCCATGTGTATAGCAGCCATTTACATTGTTGAATAAAGGTATTTCCAATGAATAAGTTGTTGGTCTTGCAAAATTCTATCATGCGATTTCCAGCATTGTTTCTATCACCAAGGCTGTATTTTCCAACTACCAGTGATTCTTCTTTGTTTCCAACTTTTGCATTCCAATCACCAGTGATAATCAGCACATGTTGATTGCATGTTTCATCAATTTCAGACTGCAGAAGTTGGTAAAAATCTTCAGTTTCCTCATCTTTGACACTGGTGGTTAGTGTGTAAATTTGAATAATCGTAGTATTAACTGGTATTCCATGTAGGCGTATGGATATTATCCTATCACTGGCAGCATTGTACTTCAGGATAGCTCTTGAAACATTCTTTGTGACGATGAATTCCATGCTATTCCTCTTCAATTTGTCATTCCCAGTATAGTAGATCAGGTGGTTTTCTGATTCAAAATGGCCAAAACCAGTGCATTTGACCTCACTAATGCCTAGGATATCAATATTTATACATTCCATTTCATTTTTGACAGCTTCCAATTTTCCTAGATTCTTACTTTGTACATTCCATGTTCCAATTGTTAATGGATGTTTGCAGCTGTTTCTTCATGCTTTGTATTTTGCCACATCAGCAAATGGAAGTCCCAAAAGCTTTACTCCATCCACATCATTAAGATCCACTGTACTCTGAGGAGGCAGCTCTTCTCTAGTGTTATTTTGAGTGCCTTCTGATCTGAGGGGCTCATCTTTTGGCACTATATTGGACATTGTTTCAGGGGTATTCCTAAAGTTTTCCAGTAACAAATCAGACAATGTTTCACTGCTAGTCATCAGGTTTCCACTGGCCAATTCTTTGAGAAGTGGATGGCCCCTTCCTTCTTCCAAGTTGGTCATCATTTGGAAGCTCCACTGAAACCTGTCCACCATGGGTGACCCTGCTAGTATTTGACATACCTACAAGTGGGATAACCTCTAGTCTTACAGCAACATGCAAGCCACTGCAGTATGACAGACTGACAGATGAGTGATGGATTATGAACTGTAGTAGATATTTAACTTCTCCATATCTTATGTTTAAAGATTCTTCTTGTTGTGAATATTGGTAATTTATGAACCTGGTAGCATAGTGCCTAAGGCACTTGACTGCTAACCAGAAGGCTGGCGGTTCAAACCCACCAGCCACTCCTCGGAAGGAAGGTTGGGCAATCCTACTTCCGTAGTGATACTGCCTCGGAAACCCAAGGAGGGGTCGCTATGCGTCGGGGCTGACTCGACGGCATACAACAACAACAAATGAACCCCACGTTAAAATTATTTTATGCCATTCTAAAAATAATTAAATAATTATCAAGGATAGTTATGTCAAATTCCACTATAGTGACTTAAATGTTGAATAGGAAATTTTAACAATCATTATTTTTTTAAGGAAATGTTTTTAATCCTTGTGAATGATTTTTCTCTCTTCTTTATTAATATGTATCACTTAATATGTATGTATTTTACCTTCCCCCACTGTCCTTGAGTTGGTTTCCAAGCTGGGATCACTGCAGAAGTAGGTTGCCCCAGTCTTCCTTCCGAGGAGTGGCTGGTGGGTTTGAACTGCCAGTCTTCTGGTTAGCAGTCAAATGCCTTAGGCACTATGTTGCTGTTGTTGTTGTTTGCCGTCGAGTCGGCCCCGACTCATAGCGACCCCTCCTTGGGTTTCCGAGGCAGTATCACTACGGAAGTAGGATTGCCCAACCATACATACCTAACATCAGCTACTTTTTCTCCTTTCTTTAGTAATAATGATTTGTATCTATACTTTTTTTTTAAGTTTTACATTTGAAATAATGATAGATTCATGAGAGATTGTGAAGTAATGTACAGGGAAAGTGCTGTGTACCCTTCTCCCAGCTTCCCTAGCATTAACATCTTACATAATATAGTACAATATCAAAACCAAATCCACAGAGTTTATTTAGACTTCATTAGTTATATATGCACTCATTTGTGTGTGTATAATTTCATGTAATTTTATTACCTGTGTAGCCTTGTGTGACTAACACTGCAATCAAAATTCTCAACTGTATCCTTACCACAAGACTCCCTCATCTTAGCCCTTTATAGCCACACTCAGCCTCTTTCCCTCAACTAACTCCTGGCAACCATTAACTTATTTTTCATGTCTGTGATTATTGTCCTGAACTTCATGCTACATTAATGGAATTATGCAGTGCATATCTTTTTTTGATTTATGTTTACACTCGGTAAAATCATGTTCTTGAAGTCTATCCAAATTGTTTAATATATTAGTAGTTCATTTCTTTTTCTTTTTTTGTTTGAGTAGTATTCTACAGTATGGATGTACCACAGTTTGTTTTACAGTTTAACCCTTGAAGGACATGTGAATTGTTTCCAGTTTATGCCTATTATCAGTAAAGTTACTATAAACATTTGTTTACAGGTTTTTGTGTGAACATTGGTTTTAATTTCTTAAGGGTAAATGTCCAGGAGTGCAATTGCTGGGTGATATGGATAAGTCCATTTATTTTTTGTTTTGAAAGAAACTGCTTAAGTTATTTTTTCAGAGTGGCTGTATCACTTTGTATTGTTACTAACAATGTATATACACTTTATATTAGTTTTTCATTTTTCAGTGTCTTATTTTTGGCTGCTAAAACCCCAAAGCAACTTCAAACCCTCTGGGAGTAGACAGAAAGTAAATCTCAAAAACATTATTTCACAATTATATTTAATTTAAAATGAATTCTGTTTTTCAGTATGATTACTTGGGCTCCGATAATACGATGGTAACAAACAAAGTCATTGAAATTATTGGCCTTGTAAATTCGGTAAGTATTTTCCTTTTCATATTAGTTAAAAAGAATTCTTCTGAAATTATAATTTGGATTAACTTGATGTGGCATTTCTGAATAATTAAGTTATTCATAAAAACTGAGTATAGGTTTATCAAAACATTGAATTTATTTCTAGGATATTATAAGAGAACATAAAGATTAATTTTGCATGTATTTATCTTTTCTGTTTTTAGATCTTTACCCAACTTCAAGTTACTGTTGTGCTGTCATCACTGGAGTTGTGGTTAGATAAAAATAAGTTTTCTACAACTGGTGAGGCAGATGAATTATTGCATAGATTTTTAGAATGGAAGCAGTCCTACCTTACCTTAAGGCCCCATGATATTGCATACCTTTTCACGTAAGAATAATGTTTCAGTATTCCTAGAAAGAAAATAAATATCTGTGATAATGATGTAGCTTAATTTAGGAAATTGTTATTCATTTCAGACAATTTACACGTTGATTATTCATTTTATGCTTTATTTAGACATTGTGCTTCTTTCTTGTCAGGCATAAAAAAAAGATTGTAAACATTTATTTCTGTGCTTGTCCTTTTACCAATGAGGAGATCAAGATTTGTAGAAGTTAAGCCATTTTAGGACTTTTGGCTCTAGAGCTAGATCTAGAGTTTGAACTCAGAGTTTGTAACTCCAGAGCCCATACTTTTAATTACTGCATAAAGAGAGAGGATATATATTGTGAAATTTAGAGTTTTGCCACAAGCTTTTATTGAAGGCTTGGTAAAGTAAGTTAAAAATATTTTATGAGTTTTTTGCAATATTTTTACATTATTTATTTTTTTGCTGTCATTTTCCAAAATAATCTGCAATATTATTAAATGTTAGTTTTCTAATGATAGATTATAGTTCATTATTATTTACACAGATTAAATGTATAAGTAATTATAATCAGAAATGTTTTTCAATAAATCTG